AGCCTGGAAGTTTCCCTGTAGGGAAACAGGCTGGGGCCTGTGGGCCCTGTCAGAAGGAAGCTTCCAGGCAAGAGCCTGGAAGTTTCCCTGTAGGGAAACAGGCTGGGGCCTGTAGGCCCTGTCAGAAGGACGCTTCCAGGCAAGAGCCTGGAAGTTTCCCTGTAGGGAAACAGGCTGGGGCGTATAGGCCCTGTCAGAAGGAAGCTTCCAGGCAAAAGCTTGGAAGTTTCCCTGTAGGGAAACAGGCTGGAGGTCCGGGACGGGCCCTGCAGGGCCCATGTGGCTGCACAGTATGCCACACTTGAGTTATCTTAATGTCCACGAAGGCCAGGTGAATCTGCACACAGACATCTTCCCCAATATCCACCGTCTTCCTCCCCACTCTTATCCCGGGTATCAATCGGAGAGGAAAACGGCCTGCAGCAAACTTCTCTGCTGCGCCACGTATCTGGTCTTTCGTGCCCGGGAAGCTATCTACATGCACCGCAGGCAAGGCAAACTCACCCGCCCTTGATCTGCGGGCAAGGATTTTAACACCTTGCGGGGCCAGCGAGGCGCAGAAGAGAACCACATAGTGGTGCCCTTGGCCTTGACCAAGCCCCTGCTCGCCCCCTCTACGTGGCCCGCTTGTACCGGTTTCGAGGGGGAGAGGATATTAAAAAAGTCTACTTCCCCTTCCCCGTCATCGGCTTCTTCCGTAGGTTCACTAGAGCCTAGTTCACCCACCCTACGAGTCTTAACAGGAGCCAGGTGAGAAGTTATGTTCCCCGGATCTCTCATGATCTGGTCCAGCTGTGTTACTCCACCTGTGTGGCCTTCAGACATGTGTCCCATTTGTGGAGGGAGGATCCTTGCCTGGCTGTCTCCCATGCCGTTCAGGTCTGCCCCCCTGCTGTCATGCTCAAACTTCGAGTTGATATGGACTGTAACATAAGCTTGCTCTGTGAACTGTTCCCTGTTTTCTCCTCCTCCCCTGTCCCTGCCTCCTTGTATGCGCTGACCACCTCCCTCCACAACCATTCCTTTCCCGAGGCTCTCTAGCTCGGTGATCCTGTGCCCCTGATGCTCCACCCAGGAGCCTCAACTGAGGTGTCGACACAGGACCCGAAATGCCCGAAGAATCTGCTTGGAACCGTTCGAAACCACCGTAGGAAGATGGGAAAGAGATATCCCCTGACTCGGCTCCTCTGAGAAGAGACCCCATCATGGGGAGCGAAGGTCCCGAGGGTGCCGAGCGTGAGTCCCGGCCACCCCCCTGTCCCCCCCCTCCCCACCCTTGCACCGCGGAAGGCGCCTGCTGGCCTATTGGAGTTTGACTCAACCTAAACGCCAGAGCCATAGCACCCGCTATATGTTCCATCGACCCCGTCCCCATCCCCGAATTCCAAGACCCCATACCCCATCCTCCCCCTGGATCTCCCCCAAGCGAGCCCCCCAGAGTGAAGGCCTGGTTTGGGCCTTGTGCATTGTAGAGAGCCAGAGGGAGCGAAGTCCCTGTACCTCCTACCAGTGGTTGCCCACTCCACTGAGAAGACATACCCGTGGGCTCCTGCCGGAAGGAGGAATCCCTCCACTACGGGCCTGCCATCGGAGGAATCGAGACCGTCGGAGGGGGAACTGACGGGGGGGGTACCTGAATAGGTACTTGCAATGAGGATGACAGATGCGCTCCAGCCGGAGGACCGTGTGAAATTCCGCCAGTCCCTCCTACTCCACTCGAGTTGCCTCTCCCTCCCATTCCTCTACCCCCTTCCTGGCGTGCTGACCCTATCCCTGGGGCTCTAGACCCCCTTCCTCTCCCCCTTCCCCCTCTATTTCCTCCTCTTCCTCTGCCAACGCGGTCTGCAGGCATAGGTTTGTTGAATCGTGGACATTCAGTGTCGAATTCATTGTGAAACCACCAAAGGCATTTGTTACAGAAAGGAGTATCCTGGTTCGCAAACTGCACCTCCAAGTGACCACCCCTCGGCTTCTTCACCACAACCCATTCCATGAAGGACTGGCGGACTTCAGGAACACAATCAATTCTTATATTACCCAATCTGGGTTCTTCAGGCCACTTCACCGGAGGGTGCATGACGAGGATATGCCCCATAAGACGCTCGACTGCGTAGCGTAGCGACGGGAGTGCTTCGAGAGGAACTCTTAATGCAATAATACGAAATTTTCCGGCCCTGTCTGCGTCTCGCATTTGGTCCAGCTCGGTCTTGGTCATCCAAGGTTTAAACAAGACCTTGACTGTTCCATTCCTGGCCGGGATACGGTCTTCTCTCTTCATAATCATCCATTGCGCAATCCGCTCCGATCTCGCCACGTACGCCATCACATTAGGACCCTCTCCATGAGTCCTTCCCCTCTTTTGAGAGGGATTCACCGTCTGGTCTGTATACCACGCGTCCTCGTAGATCCTAATCAGTCTCTCACGCTGATTAACACTCAAATTGATGGTCGGTTCATCAAAAATAACGATAACAGTCCTTGCCTTCAACCAATTCACAGTAGCGGCGTCAACCTCGTCCGTAAGCGTGAGAACCCCCACACCGTCCACAATCTCTGTCTCCCCAAAATTTACCTCGGATTCGGGGAACAAACCTTCGTCGTAACATTTATCCAACAGTAGCTTGATTCTTTCGCTCTCGCTATCCTCTGGTCCCCTCGCCAGCGGCCCGCTTACAGCTCCACCACCACTTACACCCGGAGGATCTACTCTCGCAGGCAGAGGAGGGGCGCTTGGTATTGACGACATCTTGCTTGGTGAGGTCTTACCTTCCACTGCGCTTGATTGCGAAAGTATGACTTGACCGCTATCAGCTCTGACAGCTGCTTCTTCCTCCGGAAAAACCACGAATTCCCTACAAAACCTAACTATCTACGAAGAGCTCCTCTCCCACCTCAAGGACGTGAGCGCTTTACGCGCCACGTGGATACTCATGAGACACATTAACATCATTACCTCACACCACCTGTCACGGTCGCTGCCCTGCCTCCATACCTCCCTACACCGAGAGGGTTTGACCCGGCCATCGCCAGGTAGGCTTCGGCAGAACCCCGTCCCCTAGCCGCGTGCCAGGTTTCGGAGTCAGCGACACCGGTTCTCCCGAACCGGTAGCGTGCGACGGAGCGCTCCTGCGCCCGACCCAGCGCCCTCCCCCCATCCAGCTTCAGCATGTCCCCCTTTCAAAGTTTGTGGAAGTATACTGGCCTTCCCGGATGTATCTGACCGCAATTACGAGGCCGGATCGACGTATCTGGCTACGGTTATGCCCATCTTGCAGGAGATATGCAAAGACCAGAACACCTATCTGTAACTGAATCATTTAAAAAATAGGGGATGAAGAGAAAGCAGCGCAACGCCAAGCTCCTGTTTGGTTTGCTTTGCCGGGAGCGCAGCGGGGCAGCGGGGCAGGGGGGCAGCGGGACAGCAGAACGCCGGCGGGCGCAGACGGGGTGTCCGAACTTTTCATTCGGTTAAAAGGTAAATTAATAAAAACTTTTTCATTCGTGGAAATCGTCTGGCCCCTCGTGCTGTATCTTATTTCCTACCCAGTCCCGAAAACAAATAAATAAAACAGTATTTCCTACCCAGTCACGTTTTGTCGTATTCTGTCGCTTTCTGTCGCGTTCTGTCCGTTGTGCGTGGCTTCATCCCGACTGGCGAGCTCTCCGTCACCGACAGTTGTCTCTGGGCAAGGGGCCTCGCTGCACTACTCTTGACATGCACAAAAGACAAAAATCATGGCGGTAACCCAAGAGCCTTTTTTTTTTTTCTTCTTGTTTCTTTTTTTTTTACAAATCAACTTTGCATTCAACCCAAGAGCCTTGGGTACACCAATGAACTGTTGACAATACAGACCCGTGTTCGAATCCAGATGGCGGAACTTGATTGATGGGTACAAGTTGTGAAACCAACTATTTCTGAAGTGCCTGGGGCCGGTCAGCTTAATGATGATATCTCAAGGCCGTCGCCCTTTAAAAAAAAATAAAAAAAATCATGGCGGTGCATCTCTCCATATTCTAGCGGAAGATTCATCTCGTTTTGCACATTTCGAGAGTATTGCAGCGAGGCCCAAGGTCTCACACAGCATTTCTCTATATTTGGCAGTTGGTCTTTGCAATCCACGCTCATCAACCGAGGGCGTCACTCAACCACTCACGTCACGAAAATGTGCAAAATGAGAACGAATCTTCCCCCCGACTATGGGAAAATACACCGTCATAATTTTTTTTTTTTTGTCTTTTGTTTTCGTCGCGAGTAGTGGAGCGAGGCCCGATTTTGCCCTGTGTACTGTGTGCTGTTGGACCTCGCCCGGCGGAACGGTTTTTACTTGGGCTGTTTCCGTCCGACGTACTCTGCAACCACCTTCTTCATTCTTCACAGTCGTCGTCACATTCAAGTGTGAAATGACGTGACATTGGTCCTCGCTCCACCGCTCACGAAATGCCCAAAATGAGAATGAATCTTTCGCTAGAGGATAGGAATATACACAGCCACTGTTTTTGTCTTTTGTGCATGCCGAGAGTAGTGCAGCGAGGCCCCAGCGAGCCCCCTTCGCCGAATCGGCATGGAAATGAAAATCGAATTAGACATCGAAATCGAAATCGAAATCGGGAAGTTGGAAATGGCAAGTGAAAGAGGAGTGGTGCATCATTTAAGACATCGACAAGCCGTATGGACTACAGCGGGTGGTCCCCACAGACGGAACGGAATTCAAAAACAAACACACTGCGGTACATCCGTCCGCACATTCATTCATGGAAGTGCTGGGGCAAGGTCCCACTTGCACGGATTACGAGATTCTGACCGTTGATCTGTGCTATCTACGGTCAACATCTCTTAATTCGTGTAAGTGGGACCTAGCCCCTGGTGTTGGAAGTAATGTGAAACCAACTCATGAAAGTCGGACGCAAAAACCGAACGGAAATGACGTGCGGTGCACGGATATGGACATTTTTATTAATATTGTTATTATTATTATTAGTATAGGTGCCCCGATGTATAGCCCCTGGCTCCACTACCGGTAGTAGTACTCTCGATATGTGCAAAACGAGTGTATCTTAAGCTAGAACATGAACAGATGGACTGCCATGAGTTTTGTCGTTTGTGCATGTCGACAGTAGTGAAGCGAGGCCCATAGATGTAGATGGGTGTCTTCGAGCCGATGCATTTAAAACTTTACTATTCTAGACATGTTGTAGGCGATGATGCTCATGCGAGGAGGCAAATCGAAGGGCAGAGAACTCACGCGAGGGCTGACGGCTTTTGTGGTCACGTGTGGATGCACCTGACCGCCATCACGTCCCCCGTTCAGTCAGGAAAAAAAAAAGAATTTCTCGTACGAGTTATGCCCGAAGGTTATTAGTTCGACTCTGTGGGCATACTCACACGGGGACCAAAAGAACCAAAAATTTGAGGCATCTGGGTACGGTTATTTGGGTCATTTGGTCCCTGTGTGGTCACACGTGCGGACTTCGTCCAGAAAGGACGAAGTCGCAACCCTGACACTTCGCACTCAGGGCAAGGTCGTGTGGTCACACGAGGGGACACCAAAGAAAAGAAAAAGAAAAAAAAGAAAAAAGAAAAGAAAAACAACTTCGGCTGGTTGTCTTATTCTTCTACGATTTTCTACAAATTGAGGAAACGAAACGAAAAAAGCGTTTGGTCA